GTATTCGGGGTTAGGTTTTGGGGTGTTCAAACACCTTCTCAGAATCATTCTGAAATGGGCTTAATACGGGTTGATGAGCTATACTTTCTCTATAGTGGACTTATGTTTATATAAGGGGGTGTGATGGATATGAAGGTGGCATAAAAGGGATATGGATCTTGGTCAAATATGACAACCCCACTTCGAAAAATGCTTGGATCGGACGCGGGAATGGTCAGTGGAGGAGAACATCCCCGGCCCTCAAAAACCATCTGGTTATTCAACATAGCTATGGACAATCATCCTTTATAATGGGGTAATCTATATAATTCCATACAAAACATCCCATATAGCTTCCAGGTTTCCAATCTGAAAAGGGCACCTAGGCGGTCACCTAGGCCCACGCCAGGAATGGTGTTGGTTGCTACCAAATCAATCTCTTCTTGGACGGTGATTGGAAGGTGGCACCATGGGGCAGCTGTGGGTGAATGAATTTTTGGGTCGAAATGAATAGTTCAGTTTAGCGGAGGTGCAGAAACCCTGGTTGGTGGTTTGGAACATGAATTTTATGACTTTCCATTCAGTTGGGAATAGTATCACCCTAACTGACGAACTCATATTTTTCAGAGGGGTAGGTATACCACCAACCAGAACAGTTCGAGGCAAACAAACTAATTAGACACGTTTTACTTTTGGTTCTGTTTACCAGCAGGTTAGTTAGCCAGAGGGACGTGTGAACACAACACATTCTCATGACAACCCGATGATCATTTCTCAATCCACTTCGGGCATTCGTCTCTTGACAGCCATTAATTTATTTGACCAATCCGAATATAACAGTTTTTGATAGGTTTAGACCATCGTGTAGAGGGGAAACATGCATACCATGTTCAAGTTTCGGATCAAGTTACCTTCGGGCAATCAAACGTGGCAATGGGAATTTCCCGATAAATGGAGGTTGCAATTGGAAGATCATCGGTAAATGATGGCTGGTATACCTTGTTCAATAGAGATCCTCCAGGTTTTACATGTTCACACTTGGAAGCCTAACATGACTGATTGATTGGAGTCTGATTCGTCCCATTTTTGGGCGCAAATTTCGGGCACCCAAGTCCATGCCTTGCAGGGCGTTGGACGGATTGTAGCCATACAAATATAATATACATGTGATATATATATATATATATATATTACATTGTATATATTATGTATATTAAATATATCATGTTTATATTATGTATATTATATGTGTATATATATATTTATTATTATTTACATATTATACTATGTATATATATTATTATTATTATTTACATATTGTTTTTCTTATTTAGATACACATACACATATATATATAGATATATTATTTGTATTTTATATAATATATATATAACAATTAATAGATATAATATAATATAATATAATATCATATCATATAATATCATTTAATATATATTATAATGTTTTATTATAGATAATATATGTTATAGTATATTATATATAAACATGTATTTGTATTATAGATATTAGATATTATATGTAATATATATACATATATATATATATGTTTTTTGAATATTATATATATAAATATGTTATGTATTGGATATATATATATATATTATACATATCTATTTATATATATATATTAAAACATATTATATTAAAACATATTATATTATTAAAACATATTATATATATAATTGTTTATTTATTGTATAATAAATATATCGATGCTACTAAATATATATATATATATATTTATTATACAATAACATATCCACAATAGCATATGTTTTTTTATATGCTACGTAAATATTCCACTGCATATGAAAGCCATGGCTAGAAGAAAAACAACAGGCCATCACCATCGACGACCGGCTGCCATGTTGGGCGGCCCAGCCCTTGATTTCCTGTAGTAATTCCCTTGAACCCTTAGTTTTTATTTGGATAGAAATCTGTTCCAAAGTATATAAGATTATAGTATATTTTAATTATATATATTTTATATAATTGTATTCATATATATATGTGTGTGATTGTCAATATAAAATGTGTTCGATACTGACAATGTTTCATAGTGTGTAATACAAGATGCAGCAAGCGTATAGTAAATATATCATAGTTTTTATCGTTACCATGTAGTTTAGGCTAGCCATTACCAAATCATGAATTTTCTTGAAACAAATGCGGCCTTTTGATACGCACCTTTTCTTGGGCTAGTCGCCATAGGGTATGAAATTCTTTGTAGGTGCCCACGAGTTGTGGGATTCAACCGATCTGAGGATTGAAAAAAAACTCCCGAGTTCGTTCTGTTGGTGAATATCTCACAGTTAACTATACAGATATTTCTACCATACGGGGCCCCTGTTGACGAAATCGCTAAGTTGGGGGCCACACAACTAGAATAAATATGGTTTGTGATCCGCAAATAACTATAGTTAATGTGGTTTATAAACCATCTTATAACTGGGGGCCATATTGTACCATACACTCGAGTTTTTTGGATTTATTTGCACCAACTTAGCTCGCTATGGTACACCACCTTGTATGGTGTTTGATTCCGACATTAATGTTGACCGTGTAAGGCCGACAAGTTTGCCGATGTGCAGTTCACCATGACCACGATAATCAGCCCCTGGATGATATTTAGTGATTGATGACACAATCTAAGCATACATACATTCATCATTTTTCAGTGATTACAGTTTGTTTATATCATGACTATGATGACACAATGATTAATGACACAAACATTCAATGATTAATGACACAAACATTCAATATATTAAAGAGTTTGTTTACATAGAATGATATAATCACGACGCAATTATGACTCATAGCCCAGTATGATTGATTATATGTATACATTCAACTAAAGACCTATGACTGGGCTATTATACTGGGCTAATTATGATTTATTACTGGGCTATTATACTGGGCTATACGGCTATACATTCAATCATACCAAGTTTAGGGTCTGTTGGAATATGGACTACGTAGCAGAGTCTCCAGGGCAAGGATACAGACTTGGGAGGCAGTTGTCGCTAGAACCCTGAGCCCCGGTTAGACGCAAAGGGGCCCTTCGGTAGATCGAACATCCTCTCGAAATGGAGGATTTAGTGGGAAAAATATCTATACCCTTTGGTAAACTAACATAACTATGGAAAATCACCATGTTTAATGGGTAAATCCGCTATAAATGACAATTTTCAATAGCTATGTTTGTTTACCAGACAGTAAGTGATTTTATAAATGGTGGATTTTGCATTCCCATGTTTGATTACAGTCCCGGAGGGTTTAATTAAGACATTGAATGACATTGATGTCTGACTGTAAGAAATACATAGAGGAATCACCTACAATGGATGCTTAACAAAAGAATCTACTTTCCTACATTCCGTTGAAACATCATCCCAACAAAGTGGCCCTAGTTCAAAGCTGGCTTCTTTGCTCAACTTCTACAGTTTTTGGGCCCCCAAGTGATCTTTGTTGGTTTATAAACCGCATTAACCAATCATAAACCATAGTGAAATTGGAGTTATGTTCACCAACTTAGCTATCGTTCAGGGGCCCACATTGTAATTACTTTACCTTTGTAGATAATTAACCAACAGAAAACCCTCACAGATTGTTGCCTTAGGCACTGACCAGCAACGCCGGCCCGACGGCAGTGGATTAGCCTTCAGCCGTGCTTCCCTTGGGTCCGCTTTGAGGAAAGCCTTGGTTGGAGGTATACGCTGCATTTGTTTTTCTCTAACTATATCCAGTGGATATTTATATTGCCTATCAAACCGGGGAAGCAAGAAACTACTTAGAGTTTTCCAACCACATGATAGAATGATAGCTACAGTAATTATTTCTGATTCCCCATGCGAGCCCGCTTTGTCTTGGAATCATTTTGGTCGCATGGTCCACCAGGGGCCCGACTTGATTCAGTGAGGAGCCCTGCAATATCTAACAAAGCCAGATGCTACAAGACATACACAATTACTGGTTGGTGGTGACTGGAACCATGGAATTTTATGACTTTCCATTCAGTTGGGAATTTCATCATCCCAACTGACGAACTCATATTGTTCAGAGGGGTAGGTATACCACCAACCAGCTACATATTTTTTGTGCAAAGATTCGGATGTTGTGGTATTTCCCCGTACTTAAATTCGACAGTTTCGGTTTGGTTTTTGGACAATCCAATCCATGGAATCCATATGCTGCGGTCAAAACTTAGATGATGTAGCCGCTAATTAGGGTATGGTCATCAATTCCATGTTCATAGGGAAATACTTGATTATATACATTTATATACCTATTATGTATGGATTCCCATCGTCGTATGGGTGACCGTGTACAGACCTTATTCCATCTCTTGATCATGGCACACATCATTGCATTGTTTAAAAGCATGGGCCATGTTTTGATTTCATTTGTGTCTACTAGGTACAGGTTGGAAAATCAAACATCAGTGCATGTCTCAGGAACTGTATCTGCACAATGACTGTGGATATCCATGGATTCCCATGTATGTGTACACATATATGATATGTATATATATATATTATACATAGATTTGTATATCTGGCTTGACTGACCATTCATTCATTGTTTCCTTCCAAAAATTATACCTGTGTCCCTCCCATCCGAGTAGCGACTTGATCCACATGTTCCACTCTGCGCGTTTCGCTGCAACTTCGCTGGTGGAAAGGATATTCTTTTGAGCGTCAATGATGTGTTTCAAGCTTTGTGCACCTCAGCATGAAGCCATCGTGTTACGTCAAGGTTAATGATCTCTTTGCCATGATATTCTTGTGCATCCCAAGTGTTCATGCATAGGAATACATATAATATAGTTGCGTACACTTAGAATTAGAAGTAATTACTCTAAGACGATGTGATATATTACTATTGGTACATTAGTACATCCAAAAAACACTTAAGACATATTTCATGATGAGCTAAACATTCGCACAAGGCAGGTCAAACTCAGCCCCAAATCGCTGGTTCCTTTTCATTGAATCTCTAGAAACGCCACTGGACGTCATCTTGCGGCGCAATGCCGTTGCCATGGTTCCATGCTGTGCTCAAATTGCTGTGTTTGCTTGCAAGCCAACGGTGTTTGGCATACGAGCACAGCATGGCGCGGTCTTTAGCTTATTTGGAGCTCTGACGATTGAGAGTAATGTTTTCGTTCGGTTAACCTTTCTTGGATCCCAACTTCCATGATGTTCGCAGCTCTAAACCTCCATTTAGTGCGGAGATGATGTTCCCATATTTTCCCTTGATTTTCCCATTAAAACCTCCATTTATGATAGATTGTCCCATTCCAGAATTGTGCACAGCAGAGGAAAAAGCCGTTTACTGCGGCCGAGAGAAGTTTCAGACACTCAGCTGATCACGAGAAGGAGGTAGGACCGGTATGGACCAGTAGGACCAGTAGGATGTGGCATAGTACTTTGGCGTTTATAGGGATTTCGTGAATAAACATAGGGATTTTGCCTTTCAAAACATCGGAGAATTCATAGGTATTGGATCAAAAACCTTCGGAACATCTGGACTTAACCAGTGAATAGCCAGTGAATAGGGCCGTCTTTGGACCCATCTGTCGTCACGTTAAATGGGTGTGGATTTAGCTTTGTTTCTTTTCCACTGCGTGTGCAAAAAACATAGACAAAATAGTAAGAGGGTAAAATCAATGCATGGAACAACATATGTTTGTTTAAAAGAAGCATGTATAACCGTGTTTTTTCAATATGTACATATATATATATAGGCGAAGGCTGGGGGTTCCCCGGAAGCCAATTGCAATTTATTTGTATGGATCTGCAAAATGTTGATTTTACACTGTATTTTACAGTGTTTTTTGCCTTTCCTTCAAAGTGTTCCATCAGTGATAGTATCAATGTCGGCGCGGATAAACTCGGAGTTTGTCCGCGCAGAAAAATGATAAATTTACATCTTCCATGGATGGCCAAACATGTGTGCAACATTTTTCCCATTGGAATTGCGGTTTCATGCATGTTTTGAGTTTTTGTTGATAAGTACAAAATGTCATAATTCACTGGAGAACCATGGACGAAACGAACATCACATCTTTTTCATCTTCGCGTCCACATTTTTTTTTGGCATGGTGATGGAAAATGTTGTTTTCACACTGTGTTTTACAGTGTTTTATGTTTTTTTTCTGAATTTGTTTGATCAATCGAAGTTCCACTTTCATCGCGGAAGAACTTGACGTTTGTCCGCGCCGAAACAGGATAAATTCAGATCTTCCATGGATGACGAAAGATGTGTGGAAAATGCTAACCATTGGAAGTGCGGTTTCATGCAGTTTTGGTTGTTCTGTTGATAAGTAGAACATGTGATAATTCACTGGAGAACCATGGACGAAATGAACATCACATTTTTTCCCCACCTGCCAGGTGAGGGTTGTTAGATTTTATGTCAGTTGCCTCCTCGTCCTCCTTCTCCTCCTCCTTCTCCTCCTCCTCCTCCGCCTCTTCTCCTCCTCCTCCTCGTCCTCCTCGTCGTCCTCGTCGTCCTCGTCGTCCTTGCTCAACTGCGACCCGCGATCCACAGTGTTCTCTGCCGGACCTCAACCACGACCATCCACGCCCAGTGTTCCCTGCCGGACCTCAACCACGACCATCCACGCCCAATGTTCCCTGCCGGACCTCAACCACGACCATCCTCGCCCAGTGTTCCCTGCCGGACCTCAACCACGACCATCCACGCCCAGTGTTCCCTGCCGGACCTCAACCGCGAGTATCCACGCCAAGTGTTCCCTGCCGGACCTCATGTAGGATGGGATAAAATGTCAGAAGAGTGCCAGAAGATTTGCCAGGTAGAATGCAGAAAATATGCCAGAAGATATGCCAGAAGATATGCCAGATAGAAGATGCCAGATAGAATGCCAGAAGATGCCAGAAGATATGCCAGATAGAATGCCAGAAGATATGTCAGATAGAATGCCAGAAGATTTGCCAGATAGAATGCCAGAAGATATGCCAGAACATATGCCAGCAGATATGCCAGATAGAATGCCAGATAGAATGCCAGAAGATATGTCAGATAGAATGCCAGAAGATATGTCAGATAGAATGCCAGAAGATATGCCAGATAGAATGCCAGAAGATTTGCCAGATAGAATGCCAGAAGATATGCCAGATCATATGCCAGAAGATATGCCAGATAGAATGCCAAATACAATGTCAGAAGATATGTCAGATAGAATGCCAGAAGATTTGCCAGTAAGAAAATGTATAAATGTCATGGTGGGGATCACACGAAGTAAAGTAATTTTATCTTCGCGTCCATGAAGTTTTTTTGATGGCGATGGAAAATGTTGTTTTCACACTGTGTTTTACAGTGTTTTATGTTTTTCACATGACGTTATTACACCCCCCCCACCCCCCCTTCTGTAAACAACAACGAAACTTTCAACGTAACACCATCTTCCAACCAAGCAACATCTTCCAGGATTCAACATCATCCAACGCACTTCACATGAAGTTATTACACACCCCCCCACCCCCACCCCCCCACCCCCCATCTCTATACAAGAACGACCTTTATGGTATAGCATCAAGACTGAGGGTTCCTCGGCGCTCCGGGAACCCCCAGCCTTGAGCCTATATATATATATAAACATGTGAAGAGACAATGCTCTAAGAAACAATACAAAAGTGTGTATCATACAATGCGTCAAAATTATATAAAACATTGAAACAATGATCAAATCTAACACATATATAAAGATCGTATTTTGTTTTAAAAAAACAACAAACACCTGTTTTTAAGACGAACAGGAACACTCTTTAATATTGAAATGTAGAGAATAAACTGTTTTCAAGATCAGTGCATTCAGATCGTAATAATTTATGCCGTAGTATCGTTTCATTTTATGTCAAGTTCAACCATAGCTTTACTAAAATCATTTTATATAATGGTTAAATTAGCCTGAATTTTGATTCAATTCAGTTACTTTAAACATTACCATTTCAGAGACATGCCTGAAGTATAAGTTTCCAAAATTATGCACCTTTTTGACCGTGACCTGGAGGTTGGTGAATCGAATCCCAGGTTGATCATCTTACTGCTTACCCTCTGGTCATTTGTTGCAGTTTGCTATTGAAAATGGCCATAGAAATAGTGGATTTACCCATTAAACATGGTCATTTTCCATAGTTTTTTGTATGCTTAGCAGAGGGTAGTGGGGGAATGGGATTCTACCAACAAAATCCATCATTCCCCCATTCCCTACGTTTAGTCACTGGCCATCTCAGGAACCGATTGATTGGAGGTACCTACCATATATAAGGCCTATTTTTCAGGCCTAAATTTCAGGGAATATCCCCACAAAATATGGCCTTAATTATATGGTACTAACGTACCTCCATCAATTGGATCCTGTTTTATTCCCATTGATTTACGACATTGAGCCAACCAGGAAGTGGGACGTGGGCGACAGCGTCACCATGGCGCCCAAGGTCAACGCTTCGCAGCTGCGCTTCGTGCAAAGCAGTGCCGAGCCGAGCCAAAGGGGCCCCCCAGGGAGTGGGGTGAAGTCGTGGCTCAAGGATTCCAACATGGGCTGTCCCTCATAGGTTTTTTTTTGGGTGATTTATTGTGATTGATGGATAAATCCTGTCCATGATTGGGTTTAAATTCTATGGTTTATTGTGGTTTATGTTCGTATGCCCCTCTAGTCATGATGTTTATATCTGCATCACTGCATGATTATAAATAATTCCTGAACCAAGTTGTTTCGTCACCGCAAGACCCCACCCATCTCAAGCGTTACTCAGAATTGCAAACCACCGGGCCCCATAGTGGTCATCAGCTGGGAGTTTAAAACCCATGATGTGTGGATTTCCCAAATGGTTGGATGAGAGGCCATAAATCACATGTAGCCTGTTTATGGTACCATAAATATATATATGTATGGTGATCGATCTAAAGGTCCTTGTAAGGAGTTTTAATTGCGAAAGCCGTGCATGTTTTGTTGGAAACCATCGCGAAAGTTTTTTTTTTCGAGCTCGCGAAAGTAAAATTATATTTCGCGAAAGTTTCGCGAAAGTTGGGTATTATAATCATTATATGTAAAGGGCTGCCACCCACTGCCGCCCGGGGTCCGGCAGGAGAAGGGCATCAGAGAATGCGAGTAGCAGTAGCCAAGTTTCCAAAAGTGAGGCTTTGCGAGAGCCAAACACCAAGGCCCCTGGTCTTCGCTTTTCCTTCAGTGCACCCCCTGCTGATGGCCGGGGTCTGTGAATAGGGATATTTTCGCGAAAGTTATGCGAAAGAGCGGGCGAAAGTCAAAGTGCATGTTGAAGGGGGTGGGTCAGTAAACTTTGCAAAAAACAAATCTGTCCTGAGAAGGGATTCCGTGATGCTAGCTGCATGTCTAAAAGGCTACCAAGAAGTGATCCGTGATTCTCTGGCGTAATTTGGCAGGTGGTGAACGAATCTTCATAAGAGGTGTTGTTGGCCAACATGGGCCCCGCGAAAGATAAACATGGAGTCCGCGAAAGTTTCGCGAAAGTAATTTTTTTATTCGCGAAGAATTGGCCGTTCCGGGATAAAGGAATTTTGATCAACAACCATATATACCCTGAGAATCGATGTCGGCATATAGATCAAAAATAGCAATGTAGTCAAAATACGGCTACATCTACGTTAACGCTTGATTTTGGTGACATTTGTCGGAATCCTTCGGAAATCCACCGGATTTTGTCGGAAATCGATGAAAAACGTAGACATCCTTTGTTTCGAAGATGTGCATGCGAGTTGATCATGGCCATATGTAGTTCAAAATCGTGACAAATCGTGACGAAACATCTTTTTGCCACTTAAAATTATGACATTTGTCGAAAATACCGTGACAAAACGTGATGAACCGTGATCTCTTCAGGATTGACCCCTCATCTTTTTCGCTCGTGCTCACCGCATTTTACGGTAAAATTATGGTTCCCGCAAATGTTCCCAAATTTTGGCTACGGACGTCAAATAATGCATACGGACATCAAAAAACAAGGTTTACCGCAAATGTCAGCAAATAGACCCAGCATTTGATTCACAGGGATATACAGTATAGTTAATATATATACATACATACACAATATGCTTTTATTACATCATATGCGTGGTATTTTGTGGTCACGTACCCTGTTGGTTACATATCCCCATTCTATCCCATGACATCTCCTGGAAGCGCGCCCTGTCGAAAAGGTGAGCAGGCTGCTGCGGGGATCGGTCGACTGATCGAACCAGATGGCTGTGACGTGGCCAAGGGGATGAAGCTGATCAAACTGATGGATTTACTATAATAGTGGTACTGTATACCATCAGTAATTTGTATCATAAAGTATACATACCAATTTATATCATACATATATCATACAATTAGTATACCATCTATACCATTTTAGTGAAAACATAGATTTACTATACCACTAAAATAGTATGTATCATACATATATCATACAATGTGGGGCCCCCGTTTACGATAGCTCGCTAAGTTGGTGAACATAACTCCAATTTCACTATATGGTTTTTGATACGCAAATAACTATTAATCATGTGGTTTATATACCATTTAAAAAACAATGTGATAAAAAAAACAATTTGATGATAAAACATTTATTGTGATACTTTAAAATTTAATTCTCCTTTAATTACTACCATATGATAGAACGCATGTACTTATATATATATATATATATGTGTGTGCAGTTCAAAGTGATGGCAATAGCCCCGTTTATTGATGGTTGATTTTCCAGTATATGGCCAATGATGGCCGTTTATGGCCAGAAAATATGATAGTGATCCCCACGATGCAAAGTAGGGCTCCTCGTCAGTTATCCCATTGTTTGCATTTGCTATTGTAGGAGGGTAAAAAATCCAATTAAACACTACAAATAGTTGAAACATATAATATAAATTACTTTAGCGGTAGTGACATCCCAAGACATGTTTGGTTCTTAGTAGCTGACATCCCACGAATGCTTAGCATGTTTTGCATCTCAGCGAGAGCGTTATGACTAGGGTGATATGCCACAGCCTTGAAAGCTGGACGAGCTCAAAGCTTGGTGGGATACTTCAGTACAACTTAAGTTTCAGAAAAAATGGAACATACACATATTTTATATACATAATATATATATATATATACATAGTATATATATATATACATAATATATATATATACATAGTATATATATATACATAATATATATATATATATACATAATATATATATATGTATAATAGGTATATAAAATATTTATATAATATTTATATAATATACATATGGATATGATATTGCAACCGTTGTAACCACTATCATAACCGGACATTGTATCACATTGTATCTATTCATTTTTTGTGATATTAGACAATTACTGTAGTGGATAATATGCATATATAGAACCAACGGAACCTACTAGCTACAACAAATTGTGTTTTTTTTGCAGGGTATCTGAATTCAGCTGGATCACAATGCTGGAGTATTTGACACTCCTCAAATTCGGTCCAGATCCACATCGCAATTCTCGAGGATCCTTTTGATTTGGAGCTGTGCCATTGTAAGCTGGTTGGTGGTGACTGGAACCATGGAATTTTATGACTTTCCATATATTGGGGATGTCATCATCCCAACTGACGAAGTCCATCATTTTTCAGAGGGGTAGGGCTCAACCACCAACCAGTAAGGATCCAAGGAGGAGCAGGTCCTGATCATGATTCGTATCGAGAGGTCCAGGTTCACCATCGAAAAAGTATCCACTTTATCGTAGCGATTTGTATCTTAGTGGCTGATTCTTCACCATATTTAGGGTGTGAAATGTTGTCATTTCTTTGGGGCCTGTCTCTCGGTTTGTGACCCTTTCCAAGAGCAGACTTTGTCATGAAGTGATCAGCCTTGGTTCAAGTTCATTAGTCTATTTTAATGTTCAGCTGTTCAGCAAAAGGAATTATATAATATTCATGAATCTAAAGATTCATACAAATCTATGAAGCTGAAACACAATTTATGAAAGTGTACTTTAGACATCTTTAAACATTGATTTGGTGAACTATTATAGACATATATATATATATATATATGGATATACATCCATATATATAGGTGTGGATATATATATATATATGGATGTATATATATATATATTTATGGCCATATATGTATGTATATATATATATATATATTCATCAATGCATATATTAGGTGATTAGGTATTGAGAAAACTTGTTCAGATCTCTTTGCCTCAGGCGACTTCACCGTCGCTGTCACAACTTCCGAGGTTTTGTTGCGATACGAGGCACCTTCGGACCCATCAGCGACCTGGCCTAGCTCAGTTTTCAATGTCAATGAGGCTTAAAACATGCTGAAGGGTTACCCATTGCTCTGTCCTGGGGCAGAATCAGTTCTTCTTGCTTGGCTGAAGGTTTTTTGTTTGGAAAACAGTGCGATTGGCATCATTTGGGTCTAAAAATCCATGGTAAAACTGTGTAAATCTATGGAAGTTGATCCTTACATATCCCTGGAGCCACATGCTCCCTGGGTACATGTACCTCCATGAATGGCTTCGTGGGGCAAATGCTGGTATTCCACATCATTTTCCTTGTTGAAGCTCCAACGTTTCCAAGAATGGCATCATTTCTTTGCTCCAAGTTTCTCATTTAGCCTCCCATGTGTCCAACAAAGGCTTCTTTTTTGCACCATGTCATGTTCGTTCTTTTGGAGGCTCATAGTTTTTGCGGACACTCCCGCAGGGCCTAGGTCCTAGGTATACCCTCATGATACTCAATGTGCATTCCAGGTGGAGACTATCAGCAAGGTCCCCAACTTTCGATGGTGTTTTCCAGCTTTCCCAGAATTGGTTTAAGGGGAGATCTATATCAGGCAGCCCTGATATATAAAATCTCACGGTTTCCTCTTCAGATTTTCCCACCAATCCATGATATTTTATCATCACCAGGATGCACTTAAGGCCGTGCCTTAAGGCTCTTTGTTGGATGCGGTCTTTTGGCTCATGGACTTTGAACATGTCCTGGGATGCCCCTCATGTGCCTTGGCGGCCTTGGCGAAGAGCAACTGGAACTCAAAATAAAGCCACTGGATGGGTGAATCCTTTAGTTTGTTGGCTATAAATGGAACATAATGCAACATACCCTCTGGTAAACTCACCTACCTATGGAAAATCACCATGTTTCATGGGTAAATCCACTATAAATGCAATGTTCAATAGCTATGTTAGTTTACCAGAGGGTATGTTAGTTTTGGACTTGCATAGATTGACCATGTTCAAAATGAAGTGAACTGAAACTGGTCGCACTGCATCATTGACAAAGTTTGTGATTTTGTCCTTCGGCGCGCACCCAAAAGGACATTCTAACTTATCTAACTCTCAGTCCGTTGATATTGTATATACATATATATATATATCCATATATTCAGTTTAGCGGAGGATATAGAAGTGTAGATCATCATTTTCCCCAATATATCCCATGATGCCCACATGACACCACTTTTTTTATGGTTCAATTCCCTGTGCTCACTGTAGTTTGATGGTTCCACCAGTACATTCCCATGATATGGCAATACAATAAATGGAGGTTTCCATAAATGTGGGTACCCCGAAATAGATGGTTTATTTCCATGGAAAATCCCAATCTATAAATGGAGGATGACTTGGGGTACCCCCATTTCAGGAAACCTCCGTATGTACCTTGGATACTAACCAAAGCCCTTATATTTGTAAGTGATTTAAGATTGCTACAATGTGGGGCCCCCTAGATAGCTAAGTTGGTGCTTATAACTCCAATAACTATGGTTTATGGTACGCAAATAACTATAGTTACTGGGGCTTATAAACCAACAAACATCACTGGGGGGCCTCACATTGTATAAATAGATGATGATCTGGGGGTACTGTACACCTTCCGGAAATCTCCAAAGACCCTCTGGTAAACATTTACATAACGAACTGGAAAGATCCAGCATTTTATAGCTGGGTAAATCCACTATTTCTATGGCAATGTTCAATAGCAAACTGTTACATTACCAGAGGGTAGCTATGGAAAATGACCGTTTATGGTTGATTTACCTATTAACAATGGTGATTTTCAAGTGATTTTCCATAGCTATGTTAAACTACCATAGCTATGCAAACTGTTAAATTACCAGAGGGTACCCATGTTGGATGGTCACACCGAACAGACCAGGTCAAGTCGTAGCCGGTTTCTACCTCGCCTACCTCTCCATTCGGGAGCCGCGTCGTAGGTTTGCGCCGGGGTTTGCGCCGTAGGCGGTGCAACTGAAACAAAAAATGATCGTTGCGCAACTAGAATCTTAAAACAGATCTATTGGTTAGTATGATATCCCACTAGTGTTAATCTGATTGGTGGTTTGGAACATGAATTTTATGACTTTCCATAGATTGGGAATTTCATCATCCCAACTGACGAACTCATATTTTTCAGAGGGTATGTATACCACCAACCAGTAATAGTGTTAGTTAATAGGGATGATCGGACTTGAATCCGACAGAAGTTTCCATTTGCGCCAGGAATCCACCCCGTTGCTTGCTCCATAGCTCCGATTCTCTGTTTCGAAACTTCCTAGCCAGAAACATCCGTTAGAGATTTGTGTGTATGTTTTTTGTTCAATGTGCTGAGTTGAGATTTGTGTGTTGGCGACATGCAACTTGTTGACATGTTCCTTAAAATAGCATAGCACCCCCCCCAGATGGAGGGGCAGCCCAGTGATGATCATAAGTTATATATATACATATATTTATTTCCAAAAAAAACATCCAACTCGAGTTGTATCATGGTGGAACCAACATGACTCCAAGACTTATTCTTAAGAAAACATCTTACTATCATAAATCAACTACAGTTCAACTATAGGTTAACTATAGTTGAACTATCTACAACTATATTTTAACTATAAATCCCACAACTTTGTTGGTTAAACCACCACAGTTCTTGCTTGAAGTACCTAAACCTTGGGGGCTCATGGTTTGCAGGACCAGATCTTCCATGCCTTGGCAGAGTTTCAGTGCCATCAGAGACCCCTGCATCTAGGCATCGTCAGCATCGGTGGCGTCACTGGATGAGTCTGGAAGATGTTGCTGGTGGAAGTTGGAAAGCATTGCAGTTCAAGAAATTACTATGCATCTATGTGTATATATACCTAATATATGTTTTATATATACATATATACATATATATATATATGTATTATCAGTACATCTATATATGCATATCCGACAATACATATAGACAATTATATATATATATATATATATATCCTGAGTGGGATAGGTATTTACATAGATGCATGTGTATGTGTATGTGTATATATATATAGAAACATGTACCGTACAAATAGCCTCTATGTAATATAAAGCTAGATAAGATAAGCAACAAAGATGCACAAAGAAAAGGTGTCATCAGAGCTCGGTCGTGGCCATGTTCACCCCCGTTGCAGCTCATACCAGGTAACAGGTAACTGGTAGCCAGCGCCAATTAATGCAACCCCAAAATTATGGGACGGTCATCCATTTTCGTAGCTACTACCACATACACATGTGAATTTGGAAGTTTCCTGAAATAGGGGTACCCCAAAATCATCCATTTATAGACAGTTTATAGATTGTTTTTCCATTATAAGTTATGTATTTTGGGGTCCCCCCTATTTTAGGAAACCTCCATTTACTGTATCGAAGCCCTAACGAGATAACGAACCCCCTTCGTTCCATGTAACTTGACCTGGAGAACTTTCCGAGATGTCTGGCTGTCGCTGTTGAGAGGTGACGTGACCGAACAAGTACCTCAAACGACTCATACAATGTGAGGCCCCCCAGTTATAAGTTGGTTTATAAGCCCCAGTAACTACAGTTATAAGTACCATAAACCAAAGTTATTGGAGTTATAAACCGACTTAGCTATCTTGGGGTCTTCACATTGTAATGTAAGTCAAACACATAAATCTGGGTAAATAATAACGACCGAAGCCTGTTCTGCCGAGCCCTGGGATCATGGTTAGGATTCGGGGAATCATCCCAAAATGGCCCAACAATTCAGGCTAGTGAAATATTACTGGGTGGTGGTTTCAAACATTGTTTATTTTCCATCATATATGTGTTGTCATCCTTCCCATTGACGAACTCAATTTTTCAAGATGGTTAAAACCACCAAGTAGAATAATTTACCATTGATTTATATATGGGAATTAGTCATGGGATAATCATGATATTAGTCATGGGATAATTATGATGACATGAAATCCAGGCTTACCCAGATAAATGATGAGTTCTATTCTATAGTGGGAAATTGCTGTATCGATGCCGACATGGTGCTAATTCTTTCTGTGGGATCTCTGCTCTGGGTTTCGTAAAATGGGGTACCCCCAAGCCCCAAGCTCGCTGGATTGTTGATTTCATGGAAAATCCATCTATAAATGGATGATACTGGGGTTAGCCCTATTTCAGGAAACCTCCATATTCCCCATTAAGATTGTTGGAAGATATGCAGATCCGGCCTTTCGTGCTACTTATCCTGCTCGGGTCCTAAAAATGATCGGGAAACTATATGATTTTGATCCATCTGGTGCCGAACAAGTTGCTCAGAATTACTTGCTAATTAAAAACGACTGTTTCAATGGTAAGAGCATGTAAGAAATCGGTTTGAAATCAGTTTTGGCAATGGAGGAGATGCTGCGAATCTGTGGCTCCAAAAAGGTAACATATCACAGCAACGGCACGGATCTTCAAGCAATCAGTGGTGACTGTGGAAAAGTGCCGTTTGTCTACTGTAAACGGGATGAGTAATCATATACATATATATATATATATTTTTTAATCAATTATTTAGACGATTAGACATGAATCTTTATATGGTACTATATACAGTAAATGGGGAATTTGATGAGTTTCCCAGAGGGTACATTTTGATATTTGGACAACCGTTTCGGAGGTCCAGCAGCTCAACGGGTCCCAGGTACTTGGTAGGCCATTCCCAGGGCGCTGCGTCTCTGTCGTACTTTCTCTTTGATGCTCTGATGCGTTACTTGGCCATGGTAAATTGGTGGTTGAATATATCTGGGTAAATTATAACGACCTCACTGCGACCTCACTGGAATCATAGTTTATAAGGGAAATCATCCCAAATGGCCTCAATTCAGGTTGGTGAAATATTATAATTTACCCAGATATATGTGGCGCATCCTCAATTTCAGCTAATTCAATAAAAATCAATAGAATGTATGATTTCCATCCCAGCTTTCAATGGATACTTCGTCTAGCTTTGGTACGTGTGTTTTCACCTCGTTTATGACTTGCGCTTCGGAACCGGTTGGTTTGAACGAGATATCATCTCCCGTCCTTGGATGAGCCCGGGCTTGGCTTGTACTTTTGTGAGTGGCAATGGGAAACTGAGAGCCAATGTTAGTGTTTTCGTCCTCCTGGAAACTATGATTGTTTCAATTCATGTATGCTGGTTGGTGGTTTGGAACATTTTTTATTTTTCCATATTGGGAATAATGATCCCAACTGACTAATATTTCCCAGAGGGGTTGAAACCACCAACCAGTATGGTGTCGAACATCATAAGACAACTTGAGCGTATCCATTTTAATTTGAGGATGCTGTGTGAACCTTTGTTGGGCATTTTCCCACCCGTGGTCTAACCATGTCTAACCTGTTAATGTTGCCAATGAGATATGTCCCAACTAAAACAGCAACATTTTCAATTTACAATCCAATCATATCCCACTAAATCTCACTAAGATCCCGTTAAGAACCCATTTATATGTGTGTATATATATATATACACATGTAAATAGGATACCCCCAACTTTGATAGATTCTCATTTTTCCCCTATTAAAATTACTATATCTTTATTTATATACCTATATATATATATATATATATATATTATATACACCAGACACACCCATATACCGGGACCATTTCATCAGCGGCCGAACTTAGGCAAATATACGGTGCAGCACATGTATGCATTGGAGTCTCCTCGACCAGGTGCCAGCCGTGACATGGTGTCTATGAAATAGGGACCTATGAGACTCGCACTTAATCTACAAAGGGATGGGAAAATGGGAAACATATGTTGAAATATTGGGTTTATGGATGTTTATGGTTGATATATCTATAGTTGGATGGGATATGTATCTATGTATGGATTTTTCTGGGACATCCTTATAATGAGGGGGAATGTTATAATGAATGGGATACCCTCCGGAAATGACTAACATATTGATAAAGATATTCACCATTTTTTTAAGAGGTAATCCAGATTCATCAATACATCGAACTAAATGGGTGATGTTCAAATGCAGGTAATTATAGGATGGTTTTCTGGAACACACATCGAACTAATAATTAGGTGGGTGAACATGACAAAAAAAAGCACATATCAGGGATAAGTTGGTTTATCACGCCATCTAAGTCGGGTGATGTCATCACCACAAGCACAACACTCAACCAAGATCCAAACCAACTTAGCTATATCTGGGGGGGGGGCGGCGGGCGGCCAATTGAAGTACTGCGGATGGTTGCAAAATCCTGCACTACCTTGGATGGTTGAAACCCTGTAAAAAAGGGGTTAGACAGATAGACCACATCCCTCAACTGGTGTAGGATTCGAAACGGCCCATCCACACGTTTTCTTTGGAGATCCACCATGGTTTCGTCCCATCCATGTTGAGTATCCCCATAAAGGCCTTGTATCGTTGACAGCCAGAAGCTATCAAGTAATCCAAGTGAAAGCACAGGTGATTAGAAAATGTTTGCTGTTGGAAACGAATACGAGTCAACACGCATCATAACAAAGATCCTGGACAAGTCACAGCAAATTCAAAGAATCGCAGCATTGATAATCTGGTTGGTAGTTTGGAACATTTTTTCCCATAATATATGGGTTGTCATCCTTCCCATTGACTTTCATATTTTGCAGAGGGGTAGGTATACCACCAACCAGTAATGCTTGACATGTCATAACCCCTCCATCAGAGTTTAGATAAGTTACATGGCCCGGCCATGCAGAGAAAAACCAGGTTCAAGGTTGTGCCCCCGTGCTAGGCTTCTCATCGCCATCAGAACTAATGAGTTACCAACTTAGCAAAACCCTGTAGGGCACCACCTTCTATGCAGTGCAATGATGCTGATGATGATGATGATGATGATGATTGGGATGTATTAATTCCAATATGTTCCCATGACTTCCCTATTATATTTGCCATTTCAACCCTGGTGCTGTTTGCTTTGCTGGATTGACTGGGTCAACCCTCAGTTTTGATCGATGGTTTTCCCATCAGTATCTCGTTGCTGTCTATCATTGTTCTTCGCTCGTAGGTTTGCTGTGTTGATTCGGACATTTTGATCACACATGTTCATGTTCAAACACATACATGCTTAGTCAACTCATTTGTTGTCACTTGTGTTTCCCATATAATGTTTATATGGATTGACATACAACGTTCACAAACAATTAACATGTATACACACATATCTCCATGTTTGCAACCCAAAGTCACAAAAGTGGCCATAATGTGACCATAAGTGACCATAAGTTCTATATGAAATCGTCTCAAATTCACGTTAAATCTCCCCATCCCCCAAGGAAGTCGGTTTCCCTCATGGTATCACCAGTAGGCAATGAGAACTTCGCCGAGAAGTTGCGCGCACTCGTCGGCGCGGCGGACGCTTGGCGCGTGACGCACTACCAGGACCGGCTGGGAACGGCTGCGGATCTGCTGGGAAAGTCATCCAACATGGCTGGGATATGCTCTATCAATATCTATCAATTGGGGATTTCACCGAAAATCATCAATTGCAATCCCCGATGATAGGGAAAATCTATCATTTCATCATAGGGAAAATCCCTATCATCAAGTGCAATCCCCATCATATATTATATTTGGGATGCATTGGGAAATGTTCTGTTGCAATGGGGAGTGTTTTTGATTGGAAAGTCATGGAAGTACTTGGAATGGTCCAGCAAGCCATGTTTGATTACGAGAGGGTATCACCAACATACCGGGATGTTCAATATTAATAATATTAATGTATATATTTACAATCGTATAATATATATATATATATATACAATTATATACAAGTATATATACATATATAATATTACTTAATATTATGTGTTATATGTCAATGTCTACTTGGAGCCACTTTGCGAAGCTGGTATATGGGCAATATCTCTGAGGAGTCAAAAATTATCGGCTTCACAAAGTGGAAGACCCCTGTCATTGGTCGGGAAAATTTTCGTAGGTCGACCTTGGATGGGGAAATTTAAACTTTAATATGTTGATATGAATAAGGAATAGCTGGTTACCCTCTGGTAAACGTTGACATAACTATGGAAAGATCCACCTTTTTTTAATGGGAAAACTCACTATTTCTATGGCCATTATCAATAGTTTTTTGTATGTTTACCAGAGGGTAACCAGCTATATTTTTTTGCAGGGTATCCAAGATTGCCAATGATTATCTAGGGAGGCTAGGGACATTTGGTATAGGAGTGGGTTTGTGCCAAGAACAATGAGGGTACCTCAAACAAATCACAATATGGATATCATGGGGTATACAAGGTGATACGTAACCAAAACACCATGATTGCATTGGTCTTTCACTTTGCACAGTATATTTACGAACATGTTTTCCAACAAAAATTGCCCAAATATCGCGTAGGTTTGCGTTGGTAAATCTAGGACAGATTGAGCTAGCGAGTATGATCAACTGCGTCTCTAGTCGCACATCAGTGTCAAGTAATGGTGTAGCCTGAATTTCAGAATGCTGATTTTTGGTAGGACAAACTGAATCCACACTTTTGATATCACCATGTTTCACAAAAATTTTCCCTATCTCCATATTGCCTTTAGATAGCTGTTGGCTGTTGGTGTGTAATGAAAATCCCCATTGCCGGAACAATCACATGTGGCCAGCCATTGAATCATTTCCCTTGGATTTAAACCTTCAGCAGGGTGGCTGGGAACCAAGCAGTAGACTTGGGAAGACGGAAGACGAATTTCGCGTTAGGCATGTTTGAGTTCCATGTCAAACTTCCCGGGTGCAGCCAAATAACAGGGATTACACTAGGAGAAATCGGGAATTCACAAGAATCCTTCCCCTCAAAGTCTTCCCTTATAAATCACCAGTTTCGTAGATTATTAAGCACCATTTCAACATCCGTCAGGATCTGGTGCCGCACCTGCCACCACCAGGTGCCTATTTGTTTCTTTCAGATTCCAAGAGGTCTAAGGGAAAACATGGTAAGAATGCCGGGACAGCCTATTTCTGTCAACCAGCACGGGATTTAACCAATTTAACTGGAATTGAATGGTATTTTAGCCATCAAAAACAGATTTTTGGATGAAACCACGGGGATACGTATGGGATATATGTCCAGTATCATGATGCTTGGGTGTGCCTGACAATCCCCCCATTTATATCCGTTTATGGCCATTTGAATGAGGAAACGGATGTTGGAAAATCCATCGAAGTTGGGATCAGCCTATTTTCAGACAAACCCTTTTATAGATGAGATTATGTTTGAGTGATGTGAATAGAGCTAATGAATGATTACTTGAAGTATGTTGAAGTAATACATATAATATATAGATATTATTATTATATAAAAATACCCCCGGTAATCAAACATTGCGATGGAAAATCCTCTACAAATGGATGTTTCAATGGAAAATTCATCTATAAATGATAAGTTTCCATTGTCATGTTTGATTGACGGAGGGTATACATCTCTTGTGTTAACAACGCATCGGCATTGTTAAACCCTGTTTTCCACCGTGCCCAACGATCCAGGATTCCAGGATCAGAGTCAATTTGAGCAACGCCCCATCCATCCATCCATCCATCCATCCATGGAGCTTCAAAACATCAAATCTTGGGATTTTTTTGAATTCCCAATGTGTTTCGTGCTTCTTTTTCATGGCGAATCGTCATAACATCAAATATCATTCCAAGATATTTCAATATCTTATACAGTTATACATGAGTTATACATGTATATTAAGATTTATGACACTCAATTTTTTTGTTATACATGTATATTTGAATTTATGTATGCTATGGCATACAACTTCTTCGATGTTGCGTTAACAGTGAATACTACTAGTGCATGTTTTGTTTGTGTTTACAAATTAAAGACACTAGGAAACATTGCGAAATGTGCTGCTTCTGATGTTACCAGTGGTTGCGCTTTCCATTTAGTTAGGATTTGTTGGGAATCGGTACCAGTTTGTTCTTTGTAGTTTCTTAGTTGTCATTCCGTACATGAAATCGTCGACCACAAAGAATCCCAAGTGATTCAGGTGACTAATTTCATTTTAGTGATGAATTTGAAACTCAAAGTCGCTTTTCTATTGTGCCATATAAACCTAATGCTAGTTGTTCAAAGCACCATGCTTGTTGAAACATGTTGAAGCATTCTTTTCGCTGGTTCTCGACTCGCAGCCGTCGCAGCCAGGCGTTTTTGGGTACGTCCACGCACTGCCAGACGCTTCGATTGGAGAGCATCTGACAGGGGTAAAAGCATCAAACATGGGTATTCACTTTGGAACAATGAGAATATATATATATATACATGTACATATATATATATGTACATGTATATACATATATATATAGTATAATGGGCGTATATATTTATATATATAAATGGGTTCACACATATATATATATATTTAGTTATAAGTTATATATATATATATCAGCAACAATTTATGATCTGGTAGGATGAAACATCGGTTTGGGTGTGTTTGAAGTTGGGGAAAAATGACCCTCAAGTTATCATTCAAATTATTGGTTCTGTTTTCTTATTATAGGACAATATAGGAATATTTAGGAAAATATAGGAAAATATAGGTCAATGTTTTGGTATAGGAAAATATAGGAACACATTTTTTCTTGAGGAACCTCCATTTTGTGAATCACAAATTTATTTTTGAACACCAACATGGCACAATTTAATGTGAAAAACACGGTTTTGATCACAATGGACCAAAATCTGGTAGACCTGCTAAGGGACAAGTTTTTAATTTATCATGATGTCATTGACAATGGCGACAAAAAAACAGTCATATTATTGTTTTCTTAAAATGAGGGATCCCCGAAAACATTGAGGTAACGTTTTTTTTGGAAACATCCATTTATATATAGTTATATATATATATGTACAGTACAATATTAACAGTAGTGATAGTTTTTTATCTAATATGTATATATATATATAATAATAATAACATAATCGACATCATCTAACAACAGCAATGTTGAAGTGGATGAACCAGCTTGCGCTGGATCGCTTAGGAGATCTACTACGACACGAGGAATGGCACCCATTACCTGGAGTGTGGCGTTGAGGACGAAGTTTCACATGTCACATGCGTCAAGTCACTTGGGTAAGTTTCCCAGTGTTTCCTGATTTACCTGATATTCCATGGTAATATAATGTAATGGAAACCAATGGTGATATGGTAAACAAGACATATCTATGGTGATTCATGGGAAATATGATCAACTGTAGTCACAATTTGGTCAAGCCAAAAAAGAACCGGGGATAGTCATGAATCCATTCACACAATGATCCCCCATGATGTGAGATGCCCGTTCTGTGATGGATGACCATACCACATTGATCATCATTGATCCCATGTAGCTCGACCCTGGTACAGCAACTCTGGGATTCCGCTCATGTTCACCATGTGGATGGTGAGCAAACCTTGGTTTTTTTGAGCCCCTTGTGTTCTGCGGCTGCAATCCACTTATGCGATATGTTCAACTATTCCATTTTACCCATGAACCGTTTACACTTAGATCCACTAAGATATCCACTTAGATATCCACCTAGATATCCAATAGATATCTGATATATATCTGATAAATAGATATCTAACAGATATCAATTTCAAATATCCTATAGATATCATCTATCCAATAGACATTTGATATAGTTCCTATAGATTTCCTACATATCCCTTGGATATTTCCCTATAGATATCCTATAGATAAATGTCCTAATCAAACATATCCTATCTTTAGATTTCGATAGATATCCTATACATAACCCACATGCTCCATGTATACAATATTTACCAACGTTTGCCATAAACATCACCCAATTTTGTAGGTGAATATACCATACATGAAGCATATGGGTAATAGATGTCCTCATCAAATTAAAATAGATATCTAACAGATATCCAATTAAAATATCCTATGGATATCCCATAGATATCATCACATCTGATCATCAAATCTTCCATTAAACATCTTTAGAGGACAAGAACTGTTCGGGACGCTGGTGGGCCTGGCAACTCAACACCGTCTCTCGCTCTGTTGGTTTTCACCTGGAGGTGACGTCACTAACTAGGATCTAACGGTGGTTTTAAACGTTTAAAAACATGGAGACATCCATAGATATCCATTTGTTAAAACAAAAAACTATAGCTTTAATGGGGGTTATATATATATAATTTAAAATCCATGAATGGATTCCAATGGATAGATAGCTATATAATTCGAATTGGTATTATATAGGTTGAATGGGAGTTATAAGCCAACTATATCCGACTTAGAACTAACTCGATCATACTCGATCTATACCATATTCCTGGAGAAGGTAGTTGTGTTGTTTTTCTACAAGGTGGAATAGACGTTAAAGGAAACAACATCACTAAAATGAAAGAACATTCTGACACAGTCCATGTTCTGCACTAGTTCGTTGGCTAAGTAGGTTTCTCACACATATAACATCATATAACAGAAAGTATAGGGCCTGACATCCCTTGAACAGACCACGGCCACAAAATGGGGGGCAAAGGCCGTGGAAATTGCTTGGCAGGACACCAACAGGACCAAAAACATGTGGACAACTCCAAGAGGAAGAATCGCCTTGCCGCGCAGCCAACTCCGGAGAAGTTGTGTCAGCTGTGATCTGTTTCTTTGAGACGAAAGATCCGGTTCGTGCTCACGAGAACTCACCGAGCAAAGTGTCCAAATTTGTTGCTGTCCAAGATGCCACAGCTGCAGACGTAATGCCTAGCACGGTTGAAGACATGCCCTGGCGGATACCACCAGTGGGAACACCCATCAGCAGCCGTGATGCTGGTGAATTCTATTAAACACACATGGGTATACTTGTGTTTCTGATAGTTGCGACTCAGCCATGATTTTATTCAGAGAATGGCGAAATTGCCAAATTGGTGAAGTTATATATAACATGTTATAACTCTAATTGCAATCATCAAGAACCTGGAATCTGAGTATCAACGGTTAGGATTTGACAATCCATGAACCTCTGAATATGGCTATTGGTCACTATGTAGGGTCCTGGCACAGATGAATGGCTACCATTACCCCCTGAAGCTTTGACAACAAATGAAGGGATGCAAGCAGCAAAAAACGGGAATACAACCAGCATGTGTAACTAAAAATCCACGGTTATATAATCCAAGAGAAAGATGGACGGCAATTATGAGGACCGTGCTAGCTGATATATCTTCAGATGGAAGCCATCAACCAGATGAGATCAACTCTGCTAGAGCAACTACAATATAACAACCAGGAAGAGTGGTGGGTATTTTTGCCATGAGATAGCAAGATTGGTTGATATTGGATGTTTTCTTGATTCCCCACCTGCCAGGTGAGGGTTGTTAGATTTTATCAGAGTTGTTCTCCTCCTCCTCCTCGGCTAGCTGTCCTCCTCCTCCTCCTCCTCTAGTTTCTCCTCGACCATGTCTGCATCAACTTCCACCTCCACTTCCGCCTTGCCAACTCTTCGCCAAGCTCTTTGCCAACTCTCTTCGCCAAGCTCTTTGCCAACTTCCCAGCTCAGTGTGCACTGGGACCTCAACCTGGGACCTGCCCAGCTCACTGTGCAGCGCTCAACCTCAAGCTCAGTGTGCACCGCTGGACCTCAACCAGGGACCGTCTCAGCTCAGTGTGCACCGCTGGACCTCAACCTGGGACCTGCCCAGCCCAGTGTGCACCGCTGGACCTCAACCTGGGATCTGCCCAGCTCAGTGTGCACCGCTAGACCTCAACCGGGGATCTGCCCAGCTCAGTATTCACCGCTATCTGGCATTCTATTTGGCAAATCTTCTGGCATTCTATCTGACATATCTTCTGGCATTCTATCTGGCATTCTATCTGGCATATCTTCTGGCATATCTTCTGGCATATCTTCTGGCATTCTATCTGGCAAATCTTCTGGCATTCTATCTGGCATATCTTCTGGCATTCTATCTGACATATCTTCTGGCATTCTATCTGACATATCTTCTGGCATTCTATCTGGCATATCTTCTGGCATATGTTCTGGCATATCTTCTGGCATTCTATCTGGCAAATCTTCTGGCATTCTATCTGACATATCTTCTGGCATTCTATCTGGCAATCTATCTGTCATTGTATCTGGCATATCTTCTGCCATATCTTCTGGCATTCTATCTGGCATTCTATCTGGCAAATCTTCTGGCATTCTATCTGACATATCTTCTGGCATTCTATCTAGCAATCTATCTGTCATTGTATCTGGCATATCTTCTGCCATATCTTCTGGCATTCTATCTGGCAAATCTTCTGGCATTCTATCTGACATATCTTCTGGCATTCTATCTGGCATATCTTCTGGCATTCTATCTGGCCGTTGAGGTCCGGCAGTGCCCACTGCGATCTGGAAGTCGCGGTTGAGGCCCGGCAGTGCCCACTGCGATCTGGAAGTCGCGGTTGAGGTCCGGCAGTGCCCACTGCGATCTGGAAGTCGCGGTTGAGGTCCGGCAGTGCGGTTGAGGTCCGGCAGTGCCCACTGGGATCTGGAGCTCGCGGTGGAGGTCCGGCAGTGCCCACTGGGATCTGGCGCTCGCGGTGGAGGTCCGGCTGTGCCCACTGGGATCTGGACTGCGAGGAGGAGGAGGATGCGGAGGCGGAGGAGGAGGAGAACAGCTCTGATAAAATCTAACAACCCTCACCTGGCAGGTGGGGAAAAAAAGAGCAGCACATTCATACTGAAATAGTGAAAAAATACTGTTCTATCATTGCTATTGGTTTATATGCCACTAGAAGCGGTAGTTTATATATCACTAAAAGTTGAACTTTTAGCAGGGGAGCTGGGAACGAGCTGGGAATGAGCTGGGAACCAACCACTAAAGTGGGGTTTGGAAAATGAACTTCCGGTTGGCCATGATTGATCTCCATGCGGACGTTGGGGGGTGGACCGGAGAATTCGGGGAATTCACCATTTTTTTCCTCTAAAAGGTGAGGATTTGACCGACGGATTTATTCCCCTGCTACGCAGTTCATGACAGGTCGTTATCACCTTCCATTTTTTCAGTTGCGTTCCTATCCGCCTCGATTATGTTCATTGAATCATTTCAATTTATAATTGGTCTAATGCTTCCCAGTATAAATTAAATGTGATTTTTTCTTTCGATTCAGGGTGTATTGCAGAGTCACGGCAGCGTTATAATTAATGCCTGGTTGGTGGTTTGGAACATGATTTTGTTTTTCCATATATTTGGAATCTCATCATCCCAACTGGTCCGAACTCCATCATTTTTCAGAGGGGTAGATATACCATGGTATACCACCAACCAGTAATGCTAGTCTCCCCGCAGTAGCATCACTAATCCTTACTTCCAGTTGGTTTTTGCCTTTTAACTGGGCCATTTCGATGGGTTCCCTTCGGGTAAACCTAGGATATTTGTTGACTTTTTTGGGCTGAAATGGTGGTTTCCACAAATGGAGGTATCCCCAATAGCTGGATGGTTTATTTCATGGAAAATCCCTATTAAAATAGATGATTTGGAGGTACCCCCATTTCAGGAAACCTCCGTATGCACCTGGGATACTAACCCTTATATTTGTTTGTAAGCTATCTAAGATTGCCCATGATGTTTCAACGAGACCTCCATCACACCACGATGTCGAGGTAGATCATGACTCCTTTGCCCAGATCTATCCGTGTAAGTGCGCCTTACCGGAGGCCTGGGTGACTGGGCGCGCGGCTTGAACCCAACTTGAAGCGGGGATAAACAACAAATATATGGATTATATAACTAATCATAAGGGTGATATGATATGGTTGGTTGTTTGATTCAATTATGATTATGATCCAGCAAATAACATTCTTGGGAAGATTGCAAGCAAACTCCAGGTCAGGAGAATGATTCTTATAGTGAACGGCTCATGAATCTCAAGAATCAGGTGCAAGAGGAGGAAAATCAAGTGATTAATAACTGATGTGGAACAAATGCCTCTACAACCTCCTGAAGCGAAGTGGCGGCGAGTCGGTCGTAAGTTGCCCGTGCCAGTCGCGCACAAGAATTAATGGTTGGAGTAATGACACGATTTGTTTGTCCTTGAAGTACAAAACAGATGAGATCTGGGCGGAAAAAAAAGGGGTGATGGGGGAGCTGTCCCATTGACCCATCTGGGGATGTTAATTTTTCATTGGTGAAGAGTCTATGGCTATCATGAGGCTCGGAGTCTTGCTTCAATATTCATGTCCGCTCACATATTGACATAGCTGGGAAAGATATTGAGATAGGGTGTCAAGAACGGGAACTAAAGATTTAATTCTGGGATTTCGACTAGAATGGTAGTCTGCAAAGGAAACTAAAGTTGGTGCCAAGCCTAGACATGTTTTGTTTATTGTTGTTTCATACTGTATCATATATCCGATAATATATCCCTTCTGTGTGTTTCCTTCTATCCTCATGACCCTCAGCTTGGAGTCTCAACTGAAGCCAATCCTCCAGCTAGACCCGGGAATGGTGTCATGAAACACCCGGATTTCTGGGTCGAAGTCCAAGGGGAACGATCAGGAACCTTCCAGCTTTCTCGGCTTCCTTTTGCCGGTCTTCACATGAGCCACTGGCATTCTGAACTGAAAATTAGAGATAGAGATTCAACTTGGGCTTGGGCCAATGAGTTGAAACATGGTGACTTTGTCAATGCTAATAATGTTTATTGTCTCTTGTTGTCCCTCGATCATTTCTTAATTTGTTGTCCTCTCAGTGGGAATGTCCACCCAGAAACTGACATTAATGGTGTGTTTCATCACTTTTGGACTTTTGGATGGATTACAAATGATTATGAGATATTATAGACATGAACTGGGTTTGTTGAGTTGTTTTGTGCCCCAAGATGGGTTGGACATATCCCACTACAACAATAACCTTGAACGAAGTATCAGCGAGTCAAACAGTTTCAACATATCCAACAGCACAGGGATGTCAAACCAATGAAACATATAAACAAGTAGAATCAAGTAGATACGTTTGGTTTTAGTGTTCTTCCAGTGATATTACACTCCTGATCTGAGTGGTTGTTGGTTTTGAACATGTTTGTTGTTGTCCATCCTAGCTGGAACAAGTGACGTCCATGTTATGTTTCGTGTTCGCCATTGACATGGGGGATTTCTGAGCCAGATGAAGCTTTCCATAGCTTTCCTGAAATGGGGCTACCCCGTAGCATCATTGATTTTAGATTGGGATTTTCCATGATTTTCCATGAAACAAACCATCCATAGGGGAGTACCCCCCATTTTAGGAAAGCCCTAGATAAGATTGCCAGACTTCGTCCGATGCTGTGGCCCAATCCCTGGTGCTGCAGTGGCTCACGTGAGCGGCTGAGCGGCGTGCTGTGGGATCTTTGAGGATTCCCCACGGCAAGGAAGTTGGTCGGAGGCCAGACTCAAAGATAGGTTATATTTACAAGGGTATTACTAATATTACGGTATTAGATGGTATTAGACAGAACACGAACCAGGATTATTATAGATGATATGTCCGATTATTTCCGGCCTTTCCATATGAAATCAATGGTTTCTTTCCATGGAAAAACCACCACTTTGTCGTATCAAGATGGCTACTCCATCATCTCATGGGGCCACAGGTTCCTCCGTTACTCCTGGAATTCTTCATTGGGTAACAACTCATGGCCTTGACGGCCTGGTGTTTTCAGTTTTTCACAAGGACAAGCCTCAGATGATCCAATCCCAGATTTGTAAACCCATCCACCTGTGGATATATTGTATTGCCAGAAACCAATCCATAGGCTCAGTTGCAAATCAACTGACTCTTCGAAAATTTGCCCCTCAAAGTGAAAATCCCCTTCAATCCCCTTCAATTTGGAGTAAACACACATAAAACCATCAAACAAACCATGGTTTCCTGGAGAAATATCATTCAATTCCCTTTGATTTCCCCGGGCCGGTGCCGGCACCAGGCTAGACCTGAGAGCATCTGGCCACCGGTGGCTTTCTTGCGTTCCACCAGTTGGGTGCAGACTTCCATGTCAACCACTTTCAAGGAGAGGCTCATGCTGCTGTTTGGATGACGAAGCTTAGCTTACCGTAAGACTGACCTTTTTTTGTTTTTCCAGACTCCATGTTGGATGCAGTTGATGTGTGTGTTTGTTTTTGGCGGACAGGACTATCGAGACTATCGAGTGGTTAAAAAGGAGCTAAGAAGCTATGAATATGTATATATTTCCGCTTAAATGGCAAGCTTATTCATATCTACTGAAGGCTTCCCAACCAGGTGATCGAATTCATGGTTGCTTATGAATTATTATGTCCCAGCCAGGTGATTATTTTTCATTATTGTGATTGCTTTTGTGTTCTGTGTTTTTTGATGGTTTGAATTTCTTGGCAGTTCTTTACGATGGCCCTTTTTAGGCCCATTTCTCCAACAGCCTGTGAGATGAGATTACGTATGATGACGTGTATCCGGGGATCATTAACATTCATTAAACATAGATACCGATATCCATCAGGTGATTTATACATACTTATACCGTATACATATATATATATACACATATTAAGTATGATGATCATCAGTATCACCATGATTAATTAACACTGATGGATAATCACAATGATATCTGTGTATAATATATATATATACATGCACAATGATGGCTAGTGATTCATTACTTAATCATCGCTATGACCATGATGTATCGAATAGATCCAACTAATCCAACTTTCCATTCTGATGATTTCATTGGTATGTAAAAGTTGGGAAGTACAGGGTAAGGTTTGATCATTTTACTGTATATATATATAGTTTTTCGTTTTTATTGATAGTTACATATTCTTATATTATTATATTGTCCTTTCATCCTTTATAATTCTTGATGGGACATAACAATAGATAGAGGTAAAGGGAAACTAGATATCATGTTAATTCAGCCAATTTATAGATAAAATCGATAGTCATAGAGGTGAAGGGAACATGTTGAACATATTATCTGTTTATAGGGGATAATTGTGTGCATGCATTTGGTATAATGGGTATATAACCACGAAAGTTGGCAATGGTAGAGCCTGATTGGTGGCTTCATGTTTCAAAGCCATTCTACCTGGGATGGCGATCATTATACCGGTAAGCTAGCATATGGAAAATGATGGATTTCATGCACCATAGAGGTACCATATTTTTCTGGTTTTCTATGGGTTTGTTCCATATATCCACAGGTCACAGGTATCTCATGAGCACCTTCTTGTTGCTGGATAAAAGATCTGGCAGACATTCGGATGAAACACGCGTGGGGAGGCTGAGGGCAACATCTGTGCTATTGAGACGTTGTCTACGTTGTTTGGTATCGCATGTCTCTGGATAAAATGCAAAGACCTCACTGCGGTGTCACTGTATCATGGTTAGCTCAGTATACAATATAGATCAATATAGCATACTGGTAGGGGATTGTACCCCAAAAGGTCAAACATTTTGGGTTGGTGCATTGTTACGCATGAATTATGATTTGTTCACATCTTTGTGCCCTGTGAAGTTTAGGATGATCAACTATGATCAACTCGGATTATCATGACAGACAGAGTTACTATCAGTTTGTTAACGAACGTGGCATGATATGTATATGTTTATACACAAAATGAGAATACTTGGATTTGCAACGCAGATAGTAAATGTGTAATAACCCGCTTGATACATATGTGTATATATATTTTATATATATATACATAATAAAGTGGAAATGACTAATAAATTTACGGGGATGTTCCATCTACAATTGGGTCATTACGGTTATGACCTAACGACCTGCCTGGAATGGCCTTGGCGACCTGCCTCGCGCTACTCATCGCGCCGGGCCCCCCGTCCGAAAGCTGGATGTTCGTAGTGGAACACCGCAGCTGGAAAAAAAACATAAACACGTCCTTGGGGTCAGGGTTTTATCAAATCCAGGATGGATATGTAGTAGATTTTGTTTGTAGCTCTTGAACATGTTCTATCTACTCCATATATATATAATTATATATATATATATATTACATTCAAGTATATACATAGGACAGAGATATCAGATGCATACACTCAATTGAAATGAACAACCATCGTTCCTATCAACTTGGGAGCCATACACACCCGTTTCCCACTGGTCGCTTGTGGGTAACAACGTAACAACATGTAATAACCCATGTTGTGCAACCCATGAATAAACCGTACGACACACTGGCTCACGCAATGATCCCTGAACTGAGCTGACTATGCCTTTAGATTGGGGCTTTCCACTCATGCTGTCTTCTGTGCCTCTGTCGAAAGCGGGATGATATAATTATGCCTATAGTTAAAAAATGGGCATACTCAGCATTGTCCAAAACAGAAATCTGGATGGAGAAAACAACGATAGACCATGTGTGGCTTTGGGGTTCCAATCTTTTGACTCCCAGCAAATCCACCCAGTGTCCATTATTTTGTATCGATCCACATTTAGATCCTCATTTAGGACCCAAGATAGCGATGGAATTTTCGCGCAGATGAAGTGTTCAATTCGAGTATGACTTGATGAAAAAACCTATTCCCTCAATTTAAAGGTGCCATTTTCCCATATTATTTAGACAGAAGAACATGTGAAAACAATATTTTGATATTGGATGCCCTACATTTGCATCAAACAATGGTTGCAACATTGTAGACTGGTGAACGATTGGTACTTCAGAAGGGGACTTGGTGATTTGCTGCTTGACCATATATGTTACATTCATTTCACCACGTCTTCATCTACTCTCTGGGGATTTTGACATAGTTCTGGGTTCAGGCAGCATTTTGAATAGCTAAAGCATCATTGATATCATTTGGCCATCGAAAAGGGCCATCTGGCCCTGTACCCTGCCATGAGGTGCTGATGGGCAGCAGTTGTGGGTGCCCTTGCTGGAAAAGGCCTATGCCAAGGTGTGAGGAGACGGACACGGGCAGCGGCGATTTTATAGCTAGACACAAGCGGTAAAACATATGGTGATTTAGCCCACAAGAACGATTTGAAAATGGGGGTCTATAGTTGAGAATAGTTCATTTATGATAGGTCTAGGGTAGTTTATGTTGTGGTAATTTAACATCCTGTAGCCATTATTAGCTCGATGAGCCATTTGTAGATGATTCACTCTATCAAACATTGTCATATTCCATGTATATGTTGTCTCACAAGACGGTTATGGCTGTAAATCAGCATACATGCTGACTAGCCAAAAGAAATAATATTATCGTGTTTGCAGGGCAATGGAGCTCGGGGAAGTGAAACGTTGACGGCTCAAACCTTAGTGTGGGCAAGCTATTTGAGATGATGGTTTGCTCAAGTTCTGAGATCACATGGGAATATCAGACGCACACACACACACTTCTTGGCTATGTTCCACCGCTGTACAGTATTTGCCCCATAAAATCCGCCTACAACTGGTTTGTTTACATGTCTTCCTTTTTAAACAAGTTGGCTTATACATGGTAATACACTTGTTACCCCATTGCTTGACAACCCATGTTGTTGAAGTCTGACCCCTATGACATCCAGATGGTTGTGGGAGGACCCATCGAAGAGTAGCCGCAGTGTCCTTCCCCATCCTCATGTAGTCCCTCCAAAGATCACTCTGTTGATAGGTCAAATGCCATTGCCAATTTGTATCTTTTCTTCAAGCCCAAATTTAGAGAGAAAGATTTTAAATCACAAATCGGTTACCCTCTAGTAATCAAACCAGGCACTTGAAAATCCCCTTGAAACGGAGGCTTTAATTTAAAAATCATCTTGAAATGGAGGATTTTCCAGCGTGCACAGGGTATATTCCAGCTTTTTTCCCAATTATATCCATCTGAATCCCTATAAATGTCGACCGAAATGTTTCTCACTATTCTCACTGCAGGCGCACGGCTCCTACCAAGCCATCAGTGGTGGAGAGATTGCTGAGGCGAGTGGGGAAATGTCTTGGGTATATAGACTTTTGATAGTCATACAATATATAATACAGAATAGATATATATAATATACAAAATTATACAGTACTTTTGCGAAATGCAGATCTGTATTTGTTTGCTGTAAATGGGCATATCCCAAATCTAAGCAATGAAAGAGTCGATTGCTATTTGGGTTCCCTGCTTTCTACCGGTTCTTCTCATGATTTTCCGGATTAAGTCGCCTACAAAAACTTGGGACAAGTACCACTTTGTTTTAGTGAATCCCTTTATGGGAGAATCTGAAAGCTTTGATAAACACCTAAAATAGTGGAAACTAAGATCAAAATCTGAGCTTCAGGGTTTTTCAAGTGGAGTTGTTTTTTTTTCGCATCAACAAGTCAGCTCTATGTTATATCCCCCATCGCACCTCGAAACCTAAGAAACTCCACAAGTCGACCCTTTCCATGGTGAGTTTCTGTAGGCTCTGTTGGACCTCACTGGCTGTCCCACCGAAAGCATCGATTTCGATGAGTCGGGGTCCCCGTTTTAAGGTCCACGTGCGGTTAGTTCGTGTGTTTCTTTTGTTGTTGGGAAGGTCATTACAAGGTGATGCCCAAAATTTCTTAGTATATGTTGGTTGATTTAACTAGATTTTTTAGAATATATGCTGAATTACAACTATAGTTACTTGAATTTACATGGGTGAATATGAACGAAGAAGCACAACTAGGCGGACCACCTTGGGTAAACACGGCAGGCTAGTTCACCATCAACATATGAAGATAGTAGCAATACTTCGTGGTTTCATGGGGATATAGCCAGCAATGTTAGTGACAGACGATCTATAGATGCTCCAGGACTATCGTTGGTCAGATATGGTGTGCCCATTAGACCGTGCCAAGCGAGTTCTTGTCCATGTCATGAGATTGGTTTGCTCAACAAGATGCTACGCTTTAGACAACGCAAGGGAAGTTATCGGTGGAGAATCTCCGCATGATTCCCACACACCTGATTCGATTTGAAGAGTATGTAGGACTCCACAATTTGTGAACTTCACTACGAAGCCAATTGAGCGAGAGTGCTTGGCCTCGACATCAATCAGGCTGATTTTTTTTTAAACCTACCTTTTCCTCTAGACTTTATCAGTCAATCTGATAGGTGTTCCATTCATTCACATTATGAAAGCATATGTATATAATATATAATTATATAAATAATTATATAATTATATAAGTATATAATTATATGATTATATAAT